AAACATTTAAATGAATAATCTCTTTATTAAAAAAAACACATTAGAATAATCTGCTATTATCTAAATTAACTAGATTTCTAATGTGGCGATTGCAAATTCCTTTTTTAGTTAAAATCAAATTCAATCTTGTATTTTAGCTTCAAATGGAGACCAAATAGTAATAAAAAATACTAATTTTACAAATAATAAATCATATGGTTCTGGAACAGGTTTGAATTTGAATAATTTTAATTTAACTAATTCAAATTTAATGATTGATTGTCATTTTTCTGAAAATATCTCTTAAGACGAAGGAGGTGCTATGCTTTTGTAAAACGTAGATATTGACATTCAAAATTCAAGTTTTGTCAATAACACTTCATCAATTGGAGGAGCAATTAGGTATAAGGAATACATCCCAAGTTTTGTTAAAAATATGAAAAGTACCAGAAATTTATAATCATAGCAATCAATTATTTTTAAAGGAAACCGTGCTAAAATATTTGGACAAAACATAGGATCTTATCCATATAAAATAGTGTTAAAAGAAGATTTATCTCGTGACTTAGAATCATATGTTTTTGAAAACTACAGAAGTGGTGATAATAATTTCTCATTAAAATTAATCCTTTTAGATGAAGAATACAACAGAGTTAAAGTAAGCAGTAAAGATATTGGCTATTCTTAAAAAATATAAAATGAGATAAAAACATATCAATTGCAGATAATTTCTTTGAATTTAACAGAATTAGAAATAAAAGACATCACTTAATTTCAATATGAATAGGATGGATAAGATTATTTATTTAATTTAAAAGGTATGTAATTGCTTGGTATTCCATCTTAAAAAGTCAAATTTGAAATTTAAGCATTTTTTATGTAAAAAATTTCTGGAAATTAAATTTTAATTGGTTAAAAGATTTATGATGTCTATGTTAGTTTTAGAAAATGTGAAGTAGGAGAAATTTATGTAAAAATTTCAGACGCAAAATATGAATGTTCTCCTTGCGGTGACAAATTTTATTCATTAGAAAATCCAATAAAAGATTCTAATTAAGCTTGTAAGTCTTGTCCTGATGAAGGAGCAGTAAGCTGCATCAACAGTTAAATTATTTTATAAAGTGGATATTGGAGGAAAAATAACTTTAGTGATATAATTATCAAATGTGCTAACAGGCCAGAAAACTGTTATGGAAAAGAATAAAATGGATTTTGTGTTGAAGGTTATATAGGTAAACGAATTTACATAAAATTAATTATTTTTCCTTTGAATTTTTCTGAGTTTTTGATATCTTTCTTATTTTTTTGCTTGAATAATAAACTAAAAAATATTTTTTTTTTCTTTGATTGATCAATAAATTATTATTTTTTACTTGAATTCTTTAAACTATTTATTTTCATCTTTTAATAATTAATAATAAAATAAAGGACCTCTTTGTGAGGTTTGCGATAGCTAGGGAGTTGTTTGGGGGAAAAAATATGGTTATTTAGGAAACTATTTATGTAATTAATGTAATTAACCAGCTAGCATAATTTTAAGACAACTGATACATTTCATACTAATTTCTGTATATTTGATTTATTCTATTTAAAAATCAATAGATGTTGCTTCAAAATAAATTATATGCTAAACATTAAGAAGACTTAATGTAATAATTATAGGTAAGACTGGTGAAAAAGATTAGATTTCTTTTTATATTAAGCTTTTCATCAACTACGTATAAGTCACTTCGATAATCTAAAATTCGATTTTCAACTTTTTTGATATTACATTTATAGACATTTCAAGTATATTTGGTAGCCCTTCTTCTTATCTCAGCAATTCACTGGATTGCTTTTTTTCTTAAACAAATATCTTGCCTATAGAATACCTTAGAGGCATTTGGGTGTCTATCTAACCGTTTTTCTATATTTTAGTAGCAATTGCATTATTTACATTAAGTAGTACTACAAAATTGAATTAACAAAAGAGGAGAAGATTCTTTTATGCAGCTTACATATTTGGATTTATAGCTTTTTAATGTAATACTGCTACTCAGCTTGTTTTAATTATGTCATGCTCTTAAATTGGTGATGTATATTATATTAAATCTTAGTTGAACAAAGAATGCTATACCTAGGAGCACTTAAAATACACTCTTTATTTCATATTACCTTTATTTTTGTTTTGGGTAATTATTATCACGTTATTCATTTTATGGAGAATAAGAATCAAAAGAAATAAATTAACAGAACCAATATAGCTTTATAAATATGGATTCATTTGTGGAGATTACAAAACAAAATATTTCTATTGGGAATTTTTGAGGATTCTTTTAAGACTTAGCATAGTGCTAGTGGGAAACATCTTTGCTGAGAACCTTTTAATATTGAAATCGAATTTTGCTGTTTTAGTGATTCAAATTTATAATTACTGCTT